CAACAATGTTAAGCTTTTTAGGTCTGAAAAACTCAAAATATTTAATATTTCATATATTGCAGTATGAAAACGTTATAAATGATGTTTAATGGTCCAAAGTCAATGATACAACTACAATATAATAGTTCAGAGGAAGGTTCAACTAGAAATACAATAAAATTGTAAAAGTACAACTATTAATAATTGGGTTCAACTGCTTCCTTGGAGACAACTAAGTTTAACTTTTTTAGTAAAATTCACTCAATTTTCAGTTTTCCGCCAGTGGGAAAAGTTAAAAAAACAGATTTTTTAAATTAAAATCATAAAATCAGGGTCGGACTCTTTTTCTGAAAACCCTAGTTACTTTTTCTTTTTATGTTTCTTCTTCGACTTATAGAGAGAGAGAGAGAGAGAGAGAGAGAGAGAGAGAGATAAAGAGAGAAGGGGACGATCCGCCATTCTCGTTCAGTTCGAGATCCAATTTTATTCAACAGGTAAGGCTATTACTTTGATTCGTGTAGCTCTAGGTCATTTTCCGATTTTTTCCCCAAGAGTTGAGATATAGAGCTTAATTTCTTTGATTTGCTTTCCAATAATATAGCTCGGTTTCAGTTCAGTTTCAATTTTACTTTCAGAAATTCAAAAAAATGGGAAGATTCAGTCTGGTGACCAGTTCCTACACCTCTATCGATCCTGGGAGGCGATCGTGATGTGATTTTAGTAGATTGCATAATTACTAGATCAGATTTCTGGGAAAATCAGAAGAATATTTATGATAATTCTTGGGTATTTTTGTGTAGAACGAAGGGTATCATATTCGGAAATGGTGGGATTTTGTGGTAAACGAAGAAATAGAAATCCTACATGATCAGATTACTAGTCTTAAGGAGAAAATCCAGAACAACTTCACAACTGGAAATCGCGCTGAAAAAGCTATTGCAGAGCTGAAAGAAGGACAGGTTCAGAACGAGGAGCTGATTGCAAAGCTGGAGATGCTTATTCAGACGGACAAGAAGAAAATCAGTGTGGAGATGACATTTGGGGTAGCAGTACTTGTGCTTCTACTTAGTTTGATTATAATCTTTTTTAAGTAAGTGGATTGTTCTTCTTATTTTAAGACCTTGATGATGTTATTTGCTTTCGGATGAAGATCCTCTAATTTTCAAACTTTGGAAGAGGTCTTCAAGTTTTAACTCAATCGAACTACGTATTTCAGTTGTACCTTGTCAGTTATGTCAATTATTAATCCTATTTCTTTGTCAGTCAAACCTTGTAATTCAGTTGTACCTAGTTACTTATGTCCAATGTTAAACCTATTAAAACTCAGTTGAACCTTGAAAGTACTTAGTCGAACCAAAAAGTCACGCAGTTGAACCTCATAGAACACAGTTGTAATAATATATTGCATTAAGTTTAAAACACGTCCTTAAAAACTAACTCAATCCGTAGCTACAAGCAAAAACCATCAAGTACCAAAAGCCAATTGTCATCATAAAGTACCAAAAAACTACCAAACAAACACCGTAAAGTATCAAATGCCAATTGCCATCATCTAAGTACCAAAAACAAGTATACAAACAAACCATATCACTTGTTTTTCTTCCCCACGCCTTTTCCGTTCTTCTTCCCCATGCCCTTTCCGTTCTTCTTTCCCACGCCCTTTCCCTTCTTCTGACCGTCACCCTTTCCCTTCTTCTGTCTGTCGCCCTTATCGTTTTTCTGTCCCTCGCTCTCTCTTTTACGTTTTTGCCCATGCTCACTTGGAGTGTAACAAGAAGGTGCTTTCTTTGTTCTCTTCTTCGGAGGTTCGACTACCTCCCCCTCCTCCTCTGCATCTTCCTCATTCTCATCTGCATCTTCTCCTAAAAGTGTATCTTTTTAATGAACAAAACAACAGAAAAATGACAATAAATCCACTAGAGTTAAAACATAATTATTTACCTTCTTTGTCGTCACTATGGCTTAGAGCAGGGCTTCGAACACTTTTGAGACCTTTGATTCGGTGCTCCTTCACAAAACTTTCTACACTTTTCAATCGGTCATCAAAACCATCCACCTTATCCTTTACTTCTTATATCACTTTCTCCATTCTATCCACCGCTTCCTTCAGCCCCAACAACGATGCGTCACTTTCATCTTTACTTTCATCTTTAGTTTCATCATTACTTTCATCTTTAAGTGCCTTTTTTGCATCTTCATTTACAACTCGAGCTGCCAAGTCAATATCATAGAGATCTTTCCATCATATCTTCCTCCCTTTTCTGATTAGATGGTCTCGCCACATCTCAACAATCGGATCAATGAAGCCTATACCATCATCACAATCATCGCCTATGATGTGCTCCATCAAAGCTTTCTCATCAGAGTTAGGTTCCAAGATGTTTATGATATCCTAAGAATATCAACAGAAAATAACAATCAAAATCAAACTCATATCAAATACAAAAATAACCATATATAAGTATTATCTCTCACCTTGGTATTTCCAATCGCCTCGTTTATGTCTTCTAATGGATAACCTTTCATGGAAGTCTCCAAGAACTTGTGCTTGCACATCCTTTGACAGTCCTTCTCTGTGGCAACCTCTACTCGAAACGTGCGTTTAAGCGCAGGAATACACTCAAACGCAAAAATCTACACATACAATTGCATTAAAATCGATTTAAAACAATTACAAAACCATCACAACTAACATCCAGAAAATGTCAATCACTCTTTGTCTTTGACGATGCCTTTCTTGAATTTCTTCATCGCCCTTTTCATCTCCTCCATATAATCATCAAAAGTATAACGCCCCCATGGAAATGTCTTGCACAATGTCAAATCATCAACCACTTTAAGCAAGAAAGGCTCTATGTTCCCTTTCACCTTAGATTCCACTTTCAACACAGTGCATAAGAAAAACAGGACAGCCATCATCTTCTTATCTAAGCCGCTCGTCAATGACTGTATTTTCTCTTCCACATCTTTGATTCTTATATTGTCCTTCCTTCCAAAAATTCTTTGCACAAACTTAAAATCGCCTTTTTCTTATCCCTCAAGTCATCATATACCCTCGGGTAGTGGTGCCAGTTCAACCCACTTAACAGAGCATGTTCCCAAATGGAATATCTGATCGGTACTCCATTAACCACAAACCAGAACTCCTTCTCTGAATCCGTACAAGCTTGATGAAGTAGCAACATCCACAAACCCATAGGCTTTCGGTTTGGCTCCTCCTCCATATGGAAAATATGCTTGAATTGAGGATGTCTTGTGAACCATGTCGATTCATTTTTCAGCTTCTTTATCATAGACACTGTCTTCACGACAGTACATCTCGATCATATCTTACATACTCTGGTATATTGATCTGGAGTGAAGTAGAACTTCTCTGGTTGCAATGGTGGTGTTTCATCCTCTTCATCCTACAAATTCAAACACAGGTTTAATGAACAACTTAATTCTTAGTCAAACCTAGAAAACGCAGTTGAACCTAAGAAACTTAGTCGAACCTAGGAAACGCAGTTGAACCTGGAAACGAAGTTAGACCTATTCAGACATAGTCGAACCTATTCAAAAGTATTTGAACTTATTAAGACGAAGTTGAACCTAGGAAACAAAGTTGAACCTATTCAGACGTAGTTCATCCTGTTGTGACAAAGTTAAACCTATTCAGACGTAGTCGAACCTATTGAGACGAAATTGAACTAATATACTACTTAGTTCTCCTAATTGTCCACACATCACTAAATCATCCTAACATATTTTCATCCATTCTCCAATATCAATCTCAATTCCAAGGTAAGTAAAAATGCATAAGACTTGTAAATAATACCTCTTTCTCAAGACCAGCTTCTTTTTCTTGCTCTTCCTCGAGAGGAAGCTCTTTTTCTTGGACTTCTTCGTGAGTAAGCTCTTGGGGAGCAGAATTTGATGGTTCTCCTTCAAACAATACCATAGCTAAATCAATGTTCATCTCTCCTGGAGTTTGTGCGGCTTCTATTGGTGCTTCTGGGGTTGGTGAAGCCCTTGTTTCTGTGTCCAATGCAGCTCTTTCTATTTCTGATTCTCCTTCTGTGGTTGCTGCGACAGTTTCAGAAGGAGGAGAGTTCGGAGGAGGAACGTCTAGTGCAGCTCCTTCTGTGGTTGCTGCGATGGTTTCAGGAGGAGGAGAGTTCAGAGGAGGAATGTCTAGTGCAGCTCCTTCTGTGGTAGCTGCGGCGGTTTCAGGAGGAGGAGAGTCCGGTGCAGCTCCTTTTGTTTCTGTTGCTGCGACAGTTTCAGGAGGAGGACAATTCCGAGAAGGAACAGAAGGAACGTCCACTGCAGCTCCATTTGTTTCTTTTGCTGCGACGGTTTCATGAGGAGGAGAGTTTGGAGGAGGAACGTCCCCTGCAGTGGTTGCTGCGACGGTTTCAGGAGGAGAGGCGTCCACTTCAGGAGTAGCGGTTTCTAATTCTTTTGAAGAGGTTTCTCCTTCGTTTTCATTCTTCTTTCTTCGACCTACACCTCTTCCTGTCCTGTATTTACTGCCTCTCACCCAAACTATCTCTGACAATTAAATGATCAAACCAACATTAATAGATGAATCCCAATTCAACGACAAGAGGAGAAGAACGGAAGATATCAAAGTTTGGAGGCTTACCTAGAAATCAAACTCTCTATAGGAAGAGAAGAGATGCAGATGAGAAGAAGAATCAAACAAGTGATGCGGAGGAGAAGACGAATCGGTAAGGAGTCGATGAGGAGGAGAACATAGTGAAGACGAAACAGAGAGGAGCAAAAGAAGAGAGGCAGAGAAGTGATCTGATTTAGAAAATGAATCGGAGAGGAGGCGATGATGAGGAGAAGAAGCGAGAAGAGGAATCGAAGAGAGTACTCAATCGGAGAGGAGGTGATGTGGATGAGAAGTAGCGAGAAGAGGAATCGGAAAGGAGGAGACGATGCGGAGGAGCCGATTTACAGTGGTGTAAAATCGAAGACAATCAACTAGGGTTATTTTTGTGTTGGAATCGGGTTTGGAATTGGATAAAACCCGAATGAAATTGTAATTTCTTAGATTTTTGAAGGACAAAATTGAATTTACACACTTTTAATATTAAAAATAAATAGAAAAGAAATTAACTTTTATAAGAATGATATATGAGATTGAATTTTGGTCAATAATGGTATTCCGGCCATTGAGCAAACGCAATGATGCGGCTTAATTTATGAGAAGGGTCGAGCCTGTCTTGATACTGTACTCAGCTATGGTACGCCTGCTGAGGAGCTGCTTGCCTTCAAACAACAGAGTATGCTTGTCCACTGGTGAGCCCCCCGTGACCATGTATCTTAGCCTTGACGTTTTCAATTATCTCGGTCCCTTCCACCTCTACTTTCACTGTTAACTACAACATAAATGGAAAATTTGAAATATAACCGTTAGGAAACGACAACGTATTAGTAGTTATTGCAGAAAAATTTAAAACCGAATCAGTTTAGCTAGTTTTCTAAGAATGCAGAACCGGTTTAATTACAACATAAATCGATTAAATTTGAAATATAACCGTCAAAAAATACATATTAAACATTTACTTCCAAATATTATTCCCACAGTTCTTCACAAATTTTCTTCCAAATTTGTTCTTTATTTTTTTTTGGTTTAAATGTTAGCTTTTCTTTTCTTCTTTTTCTTCTGATGAATTCTCTCGATCAAATCTTTGAGGAGTTGTCAAAATCGGAGGTCCTCTGTAAATCTTGAATTTGTTTGAGGATTTCTAAAGTTTCGTGTAATCTTTTTTCCTTTTTGTTTGTAGTGATCGAAAGCTTGATTCCGCCTGAAATCGATTTGGGTTTTTCGCTTGTGGTCAAGGTATGTATCGTGTTTCTATGTTTCATGTAAATCATACTGCTGGCGATTTTGATTTCGTGTTATCAATTTTCCAATATTCCTCAGTTTTAATTTCTTTTTGCAGTGATCTTGGTTAGGGTTTTCTTTTTACCCTTTAATCGTTCTGAAGTCTCACTGAAACCGTCGTCGAGGTATGTGTTGTTGGTAATTTGTAAATGAATCGCATCTGCTAAGTTCTTTACCAAACCCTAGCTTGTTTATATCTGCCTCAATACATTCCGTTCGTTAATATTCTGTATGATTTAGAAAGTTTTTGATCCATATACATCTGTCAATGCAATGGAATTTTCTGGGCTTTTGTAATCTAATTGTTGTTTCATATTCAGTTGCTAAAGAGAATCCTCTGACCCTTGTTAAGGCCTTGAACACTCAAAATCGAATCATGGAACCATTGTGATCAAGTATGAGAGAGTAGTGAAACCTTCATTCAATGGCCCTGGATGTGTCTTTGATGAACTCGATAACTAGTTTAAATGGTATCATTTTTATATCGGTTGTCACCTTTTCGACATTGTTTCATGTTCTTGGGTTCATTTATGACCTGTATAATCACCTCTTTCCTCTGCAGTTTGATGCAGATTTGGATCCAACCAAAGAAGGGTTGTTAGTAAACTCTGTAAGAATCAATATTCAAAAAGATTGTAAATTGGCGTGTGCACTTGAATCACTCGCCCGTTATTGAACTCTTCTTTTTTTCCTGTTTCAATAGGTTGTTCTTGGGATCAGCTCTTTCTTCATTGAACAAATGTGTCAGCAGATTGTGTGCACGAACATATGATATGGGCAGGAACAGCCTTAAACCATACTTTCATTCAGCTTATGTTTTGTTCTCAGTGTAGGTTTAGCTATAGGAGTGTTAAACCTCGCAATCTTTGTTCCCCAGGCAACCTCTTAAATTCATTTTCTTGTCTAATGTCTCACAAGCCCGTAGTTAGTTGGTGTCTGAACATGGTTTTTGGTTTGAACAGATTATAGTGATGCTATGAACATTTCCCTTCAGTTAGTTAGCCTCCAGTTTTCCTAATCGTTCAGACTTTAACTTTTGCAGTGATCTCTTCCGGTTTTGCTTTGAAGCTAGACTCTGCATAAAGCCGTCTATAAGGTAAAATTCTCTGTCTATGTTAAAAGTTTCCTGTTCTGTTTATGTTTTTTCCGAATTTTTTTCTCTTTGAGAATGGATTCGAGCTTGAAGAAACACATAAGATCAGTTCTCCACTCAGTGAGATGTCTTTCAACTGGTTTTGTTTTTGTTTCAACAACAAAATTACTCTGTTAACAAGATTTCAGAGCCTTTTGTTTTTTTTTTGGTTTTTATCAAACCCAAGAGATTAGATAGACATTCCTCTAATGTTCTATCAATTCTTGTTCTTGTTTCGGGATATTGTTTTGGTTTTGTTTTGATGTTTTTGTTTTTCAATTCAAACCCAAAAAAGATCATATATGCAGACACTAATCTAATAGTGTTCTGTGAGATTCTTATTTGGGAACATTGTCCCGCTGCCTCTAAAAGACAACGTAAACCATCACCTTAGCAAGATTATTAACTGGACCGATAATATGGGTTGGTAGTGCATGTCTAAGGAAGGATGTTAGGGGATGGCAAATAAGACCAAACGGCTTAAAAGTCTTCAGACAAAAGACTACAAATGGGAAATAGATCCTTAACTTTTCTACACCCACGGCTTAAGAAAATCTGTGTTCAATTATTTGGATGGAAATAACGACCAAATGCTTGATGTAATGTAGTTAAACCAACGACTTAACAAAGTCTCAAGACAGAGACTACAAATTGAAAGCAGATTCCTTACTACCAACGGCTTACAAAAGTCTTTAGACAAAGACAATGGATCGGTTATAAGACTTGCTGGATGTAATCATGTAAAACACTACCCACGGCTTAGAAAAAATACTTAAAGAAAGACAAAATGTTGGTTTTAGAAATGCTGGATGGGAAACAAAATGACCAGCGGCTTAGAACATCTCCTTAGAGAAAGACTATGAACCTATTTGGATGGGGAAAAAAAACGACCAAACGGCTTAAAGAAGTCTTAAGACAAAGGCTTATGATCCGAGAACTACTTATGTTCGATAACTACCAACGGCTTAGAGAAGAAGTCTTAAGACAAAGACAGACGAGAACAGATTCTTTGATATACCACTCCCGGCTTACAAAAGTCTTGATCGTCTAAGACGACCAAACGGCTTAAATAAGTCTTGAGACAAAGACAAGGAATCGAAAAACACCAACGGCTTAAAGAAATCTTGAGACAAAGGCTTATAAAGGTTTGCTTTCAGTTTGTTGGATGGATATAACGACCAATAGCTGATAAAAAGTTGGTTTTCCACTTGCTGGATGGAATTAACGACCAGGGACTGAAAAAAAACTCTAAAGACAAGGACTGAAACGAAGACAAATGGCTTTGAAGTATTTGAAGACAGAGATTGTGTGGGGTAACGACTAAAGGTTGGTATAGGTCAAGAAAAAGGCTACGAATCAAAGATAACACTCAAGGTTCTTTTAACACAGCCAAGCCTAAAGAAGTCTTAAGACAGAGACTATAAATCAGAGAAACTGATTGATTACTTTTACCACAAGGATTCAAAAGTCATTCTTAGACAATGATTTGAAAAGAACCGACCAAAACGGCTTATACAGGTCTCACTCAAAACAAAGATTATGACTGGAAAAGACTATAGATGGAGAAACAACCCAAGGCTTAAATAAGTCTCATGACTTAGATCCCACGGCTTAAAGAAGAAAAAGACTTTCAGTTTGTTGGATAGAACGACCCATGGCTGAATAAGGTTTTAAGACAAAGACTGAGACGGAAACAGAGTCTTTTATGATGACCAACGGCTTAAAGAAGTCTCAAGACAAAGACTATATAAATCACAGAAACAAGGCTTTAAAAGACAATGGAGTACTGTATATGACTTGGAAAAAAACACCAACGGCTTACAAAGGTCAAGACAAAAACTATGTCTGGAAAACAGATATCTTTACTTTTAACTGTCTCGGCTTAGAAATGTCTTTAGACAGAGACTACGGATGAAAAAAAAACAACCCGAGGCTTACGCTTACAGAAGTCATTAGATAAAAACTATCTTTTGCTTCGTTGGATGGAAAATACAATCAACGCCTTCAAAGACTATATGAATCAAAAACCGATTGTTCACATTAACTCAAAGCATCTTTGTGAAGTAATTAAAAGACTAATCATTTCTGTTTTTTGTTGTTGTCAGGTATGTGCTTCGGAAGGTGCTCTTAGGGGATTTCAAGTGTTGCTGGTTTCTGTGACAGGTATGTGCTTTTCAAACTTGCTTATAATTAGTTTATGAAATTCACAAGTGTGAGAAACGTGTGTGAACTGTGAAGTAAAGACTAATTTTTATTTCCATAGGACAGGTGCTTGAATAAACATCCAAAATTTTAGGAGATTTATACATGTTAGCATACTTTAAAGCCTAATGTGCCCATTGACTTCTCTATGGGTTCTTCCCAATCATTTGAGAATTCAAACACATACATGCATACATACATACAAATTTGCAAACTTGTTTACTCATATATGCTTATATGCTTGCATCCTTCATTGTTTACTTGCTTTTTGTGATTTTTTGTTTTATTTTCTTGCTAACTTACTAGCTTCCTTCTTACTTTCTTCTTTTTGCTTTCCTGTTTCTTTACTTGCTTTCTTGATTGCTTTTTTTGATTTGTTGTTATTTCCCTGGTTCCTTGCGTGCTTGCTTTCTTCGTTGATTGCTTAAATGCGTGCTTCCTTGATTCGTGTTCAGCTTCTTCTTTTTTTCCAAACCTTAGCGATCATTCCAAACATACATTATGACATCCTCACGATCTTACAGTTAAATTTGGTTCTGTTCTGATAAATTCTTACATTGATGATTATTGTTTACTTTTGATGAATTTTACCATTTGACTTGAGTTTTTACAAAACAAATAATTGAAAATAACTTTGTTAATAGTAGTGTCTGTCACTTCGTCTAAACAGAATACATTTTCACTTGGTCTCTTTGTCTTACCAGAGTCGATTGTCACTTGGTCTTAAAAGAATTGATTTTCACTAGGAATGCTATTGAATTATTGGTGTATCTATTTAGAATGTGCAATTAATGATCTTGCTTGATTTTCCTACCATGCTTTTTGTTTTAATAACACTTTTGTGGCTGGTGTTAAAATCAAGAAATTAGCTCTTTTCCAATATCCCGTTTGCTAATAAGTGTTTGACTCTCTAGTAGAGATATTTACGTACAAAATCCAGCTTTCTGTTTGTTACTAGTCGAAGTAGCACATTGATCATAGTTACTATCATAGAAGAGTTTGTAATGTGATTATGATCAGAGTTTCTTAGTCCATATTCCTTATTACTGCAGGTAAATCCAGTTGTAATCTTTCAATAATATATATATATATATATATGTATATCTTGCACTTATGGTCTTGTTGTTTTTATTCCATACGTATCCTTTCAAAAGAAAATCATCATTGTATATTTGTTTGTTGAAAAATGGACAATTTAAATCTTAATGTTAGGTTTGTTGTTAAATAATGTATACTGTATTTTTTAGGCTTTTGATATTACGAGATTTGTGAGGTGAACAATTCTTGCATTTTGGTTGCTTGTCATTATTGCTCATTATTTGTTATGATCGATTATGATCTTACTATTTTTTGGTACGGTCGAATGATAAATTGATTGTAATTTCTTGCATGTTTAATCCTAATTTGTATACACTTCTACCTATGTACTGTATATATGATTGGTATGAATATACATATGTGTAGCATAAGGTTTTAAAATATATATGTGAAAATATTGAGATTATTTGTGTAAGTCGTACGTGAGGCCATATAAGGTATCTAAAAATAAAAAAATATATTATATATCTAATTTTGTTGATGATTTTTTTAAAAATATGCTATAATGTTATTTTATCATATACCTTTAATATATAGAAAATAACCAACTTAGTTATCCAACTATTTCAAGTTATATAAGAAAAAACACTGTACTATTATAGTTTTTCGTAATAACAAAAAAATACTAAAATAATTTTTTTTTTTTTTGGTAAAAAAACTAAAATAATTTATTTTAACACTGTATATAACATTATGAAAAAACTATAAACCGATAAAATAAAAAAGGTTTAAATAACTTGTATATTTAATAGTTACTATAGTCAAATTATTAAAAAATATTTGTTAATGATTAAATGGTAAAAACAAGACTAAATCTAAAAACTAAAAACTAAACAGATAATTATGAAATGAAAGATAATAAAAATAGATAAAGGAAAATTACTACTACATGTTTGGGCATAAAGAAAAAGTGGAATAGATCCTATGAGAACCCTTTGTGAAAATCTTTCTTTTGTAGACATTATCATTGTATATCAAATCACGTATACTCGCATTTCCTAGTTCTCAATCCTTTGTCTTCATTGACAAACCCGATCAGGATAATCCACTGGGTTCTTGTTCTTCTGTATGTCACGCTTAGCTTCAAAATTGGGATCAATGGCTGAAATGCCATTCAATTTGATTTTTTTTCAGATTCAATTTTGTTTTTTTTTTGTTTTTTTTTATTCAAAAATTTAATTACTTTTACCTTTTTTATTTTACTTTCACTTATTTACTAATTTACCTTTTCAGTTATTTTCAATTTTTTCACTAAAGACCGGATTGTAATTTCACATTTCATTTAATTGAATAGGTAGCATAAGAGTGGTATTAGATTGAAGAGTGGCAGAAGAGATCAAATTTTTTTTGAGAATGACAAATCAGCCTTTCGCTCTACAAATTGGTGGATTAAACACCAAATTTATGATGAGACTTGACTATTTGACCTTCAACCTTTGACTCCTAATTCAGAATGTCGAATTCTTATAGTTGTTGTCTTTTTCTCGGTGCTGTCCATATTTATATGACCACAAAGCTTTCACTTCTTATTTTTCTTCTCATTTCTATTTTATTTTGATTTTTTTGTGTTTTTTTTTTTTAGTTCAAAAGAAGACATTGATGGGTGCTGAAAATGTGACAACACTTCAACCTATTTATTCAGTGTATACCATTTAATGTACTCAGATCCCAATCCGGATCCGATTCCAGACCGAAACCGAAGAATCAATCGACGGGTTGCTCCATGGATCTTGAGGTCGACTGTGTCCGAGCTATCGCCAACTTCTAGGTTTATACTCTTTCCATTCACCGTCGTGATAGAAATCTCCATTGCACCACTTGATAGTTTCTTACTCTGCTGGTTTCGTTTTATAAGCAATGCATATACTAAACGAATGAACTTTATAGTAATGTCTAAAGGGGATTTAAACAGTTTAAAGCATTTTGTTCTATTCTTACTTCGAAAACATGAATGATTTTCTTATATATTGTAGTTATACTAGACTAAAGTCGTTTTTTTCTTGTCTATTGTTTAGAGATATCTTATGGCTTAAGATATGCTTTGTTTTGTTAAAAGAAATAGGCCGATAGCGGTTTAATTAAACAAGAGTGAGATACCGGTTTTATACCGATCCATAACCATAGCACGATACACGTGACATATCTATCACATGCAACATATTATTACTTAGTCTCATACTAATACAGTGTCGGAAATTTAGATTTCACATACACATTCAGAAATATTCACTTCTTACCACGTAAATCCTTGAAGTAGTCTTTGGCGTTGTTCTCGAAATCTTTCCTGAGAATATAACCATATTTTCCAGGAGCCTTAATCATCTTCTCTTCCGGAACTTTCTCCTCCGAGCCCGAGCCCGAGTCCGAGCCAATCCACGAGAGTAGACCCGCGACTGCTTCAACGGCTCTAGTGATGCCTATGAGTCTGGTTCCGGTTTCATAATATCTTGACTTTTCATCTTTGTTATTCTTGTTTCGTTGGTATTGTTCATTTTGATATGATGATACAAGAAAAAAAGCTTTCAACTTCTTCTAGTTTCTCTTTTTGTTTTTGATTGTTTGACTTAAAAGGAAGGGTTTATGTGACTTATATAGTTGCAATTTGGGAATGTGAGTCAATCTATATCAGAATTCAATATACATATATTTAAATATAGCGAGCTACTTATTCTCTACCGGTGTGTTTAATCATCAATTTCTGCTTTCGTATGTTGTATCTTGCTAATGATTCTATTTCATTTGGAAGACAGCCTTTGTTCTTAGTTTATAATATAAATTTACTATGTAAGCATTGTAATAATATCTATTTTTATTGGTAGATCTTAAAATTAACACTATATCAAAATTGTTAAACGTAGATATTTAACTTACAAAATGTCTACAAACATAAAATATTTGCTTAAAAATATATAATTCTTCGTTAAAAAATACAGGCATGCATAGTATAAAGTAAACATATATAATACGATTTAGCATTTAGTATACAACATAAGATGTTCACATTATAATATATGCCTTCATTTATAAATATAGAGATACATAAAGTAAAGTAAACATTTATTATACAACATAACACTCTATATTTATCATAAGATATATATTAACATTTGATATTCATATAACAATAATCTTTTAATAAAAATATAGATATGCATAAAATAAAATTTTGATGTATAATTACACATAGCATTCGATGAAATAATTTGAACATAATTAGGGACTGAATCTCTAGTAAACAAAAGTGGCGGCATCTCCATAATTGACTCGCCAATCGTCGAAAAATAAATATATATATATATATATATATATATATATATATATATATATATATATATATATATATAAACGTATCTTAAGGTCCCTTTGGCTCCTTTTTCGCTTAGATCCTTTTGATTGTATTAGAGGCTTTGCTCTTTCCTTCTCCATCCTTTTTTGATTCGTGGTGTATCCTTCCTTTTACCGACAATTAATTGTGACGGTTTGGAATTTATTGTCACTATTCCTTTTTCCTATCGAAGATCTCCTCACCTTCCTTTACGGTTGCTCCACTTTCCCTTTCTCTCAGAATCCTCTTTCCTTTCTCAACGAAAAGAACCCTAATTCAATCAATCAATATGAATTCCGTAAAATCTGTGAGCGAATACAGCAATCTTAATTGAAAATTTTCCAACCTCTGTGTTGTCTCCCTTCCGCGAATATTAACTTTCCGACGTCGGAACCGTGCAGTCATTGCTGGTCACTTTGATCTTATGGAGGAATCTCTTCAAGTAGCGATGACATTACAAGACGATGACCCCATCGAGCTCCCTGATAGCCCATGCTTCAAGGTTTTTGATGAAAATGCGATGAGTCTGCTAGGACGTCTCCTGAATCCGGATTGTCAACCGATGAACAAGATGATTGAAGACATCCCGGTTAACTATTACCGAGTTGAAACTATGCATTTGCTGGCTGAACGGATAGACTTTGTCCATGAAATTGCCTACGATCCTACAGTGTCGCAGAATGAGGCCTATATACGTGCGCATATCAACCTAAAAATCTCTGACCCGACGTCCAACACCAAAACCCTCAACCTTCCACAAGGAGGCTCAGTCCTTATCGAGTATGGGTACGAAAAGATTAAGAAGTGATGTTTCCATTGTCAAAGGTTGACTCATGAAAGACCGGCGTGCCTCTTTCTTCATCGCCGGAACACAATGATGACAACCAAGACTAAGACCAGTAGCCCCGTGAAAGCACCGGTGCATTCCGTACCTCCGCCACAACCTATAAATGTGGTAGCAAGTAGCTCTGTACCCCCGGGCTTTTCTCCCCTGTTCTCCGGATTACGGCCAGAAGAACATCAAATGGCAATCCAATATGTCTCGCATAGTGATGCTACTAAACGGCAAGCCCGTATATTAAGAGTTGAACAATCGCTGGACCCTTCATTTGCGGAGCAATCAACAAGGATGCCACAAACTACTCATAATCTCCTCAAAGGTAAAGGTCATGTTTTTGGATTTGAAGAGCAGAATCAAGCGGCTAAGAGAAAAATCACTTCAGAGTTACCTTCTTCCGCCTCTGTTTCTCAAACGATGGAGAAAAACAAATCCTTCCAAGAGCTCTTATCAAGAGGTTTCTTCTTCCTCATCTCCGATTGCTGCTACGGGTTCCCGAATGGGATACTCCTCGGAGTCCTTCTTGGCCGGCGCTCGGGATGATGGTAAGAAACCTCGATGGAGACCAAACAAATGGAAGAGGAATAAGGTTAAACTCTCATCTCAAGCAACATAGTCACAAGATGGTAAGCACCAGGAGAATGGTGTAGAGACCTCGGCTAGAGATGCGATTACAGCATGTGTGATTAATCCAAAGAGAAATGCAGAAATGAATGTTGGTGATCATTCATCAAAATCTCCAAAAAACTCCCTATCTACGGTGGCTTCCGTTTTGAAGCCGCTGCCATCCCAATGAGCGTTATGTGCTGGAACTGTCAAGGAGCAGGAAGTACCGAGACAGTTCGTTGACTCTGGGAGATACGTAGAAAATATTTCTAGGATTTTTTAGTTCTTATAGAGACTAAGCAGAAGAGTGAGTTTATTATGGGACTGAAGAATGATTTTGGATATGATAAAATGATCACAGTAGAGCCTCTATGTCTAAGTGGAGGTCTGGCTGTGATGTGGAAGGATAATTATAAGGTTGAGGTTCTTTCGATGGATAGGAGAATCATAGACCTTAAAGTTTCGATGGATTCTACAATTTTCTTCCTAACCTGCGTTTATGGAGATCATGTACGCGCTAGAAGAAGGGAAGTGTGGGAACGATTAATTGATATTGGGATTGGGAGAGATGATGCATGGCTTCTAGTAGGGGATTTCAACGAGCTCATGGATAATACAGAGAAACTTGGAGGTCCACGGCGTCATGAATCCACTTTTTGGAATTTTAGGAATTTGGTTGAGAACTGCAAGTTAAAGGAATGTAGAAGTTCAGGGAACTCCTTCTCCTGGGCCGGCTGGAGAGATGATGTCTGGATACAATGTCGACTGGATAGATGCTTTGGCAATGATCAGTAGTACCAACTATTCTCTCGAACCCTCACAGAATATCTGGATCGTCTAGCATCTGACCATAGACCAATAAGAGTCTGCTTCGCCTTAGAAGGGGATGATTCAAATCGAGGCAGATTTTTCTTTGATAAACGGATGCTTCAAAAGGAAGGTATCGAGGAGGTTATAAGATTTGGTTGGACGATTGCTTGACAGATGAAACTTGCCCGCTGATAGACCGTATTTCCCGCTGTCGTAAAGAACTTGCGAAAAAGAAGAAAACAGGAAATCTCTCCCATGATCGTATTTTACGCTTACGACATGCTCTGGAATGTGAGGTACAAAAAGAGTTCCCTAGCAGGCACCTGATGCAGAATGCTAAAAGAGCTCTTGCAGAAGCCTATCGTGAGGAAGAGATCTTTTGGCAACAGAAAAGCAAAGAACAATGGCTGAAGTCCGGTGATAAAAATACAAGATACCTTCACAATTGTGTTAAAGGGAGAAGGATTAAGAATCGCATTATCATGTTGCTGGATGATCTGGGAAGAGAGCAATTTCAGAAAGACTCCAAGGGTAATATTGCTGTTAACTACTTCAGGAATTTATTCCTAAGCTCTAACCCCTTCGATATGGAAGATCTCTTTGAAAGATTTGTGGGTAAAGTCACGCCAGAGATGAATGCTTCCCTTACAACACCAATATTTAAGGAGGAAATTAAAAAAGTGGCCTTCAGTGTTAAAAGCACAAGCACCCCAGAGGAAGATGGGTTCACGGGGATATTCTACCAGCGATTCTGGCACATAGTAGGTCCATCAGTTATTCTGAAGTACATAGTTTTTTTTCTTCTGCGATTATTCCTTCGGGTTGGAACCATATACAACTCTGTCTCATACCAAAAATCCTAAACCCCACTAAGATGCAAGATATGAGACCTATCAGCCTCTGTTCTGTGCAATACAAGATCATCTCGAAGATACTATGTGAGAGATTTAAAGGTATCCTCCCAGAAATCATCTCAGACACTCAGGGAGCCTTCGTTGCTGGAAGGCTAATTACGGATAATATCCTCATTGCCCACGAGATGGTACATGGACTGAGAACAAACCCGCGGGTTGATGCTCAATTTCTGGTGATAAAAACCGATATGTCCAAGGCCTTTGATAGGGTTGAATGGTGCTTCCTTGAAATCTTGCTGGAGAAGATGGGCTTCGACCATAAATGGATTAAATGGATCATGTCTTGTGTGAGTACAGTTACCTATTCCATTCTCCTGAATGGTAGAACGCATGGTTTTATAAGGCCGGAGAGGGGCATTAGACAAGGAGACCCTTTGTCTCCGTTTCTCTTTATACTCTGCGCCAAAGCATTAGTAAGTTGCCTCAGTCACTCAGAAAGCCAAGGAAGACTTCATGGTATATGCCTGGCTACTAATGGACCTAGTGTACACCATCTCCTCTTTGCTGACGACAGTCTACTAACGTATAAAGCGTCAACAGAAGAAGCATCAGAGATAACTAGATGTCTCAAACTCTACGGGGATGCATCTGACCAAGTTATCAACAAAGAGAAATCCTCAATCATTTTTGGTGTGAAGATGGGAGAGGTGGGCAAAGATTTGATCAAGGTGGCCTTGGGAATAGATAAAGAAGGTGGACAAGGCTCATATTTGGGATTACCTGAATGTTTCAGTGGTTCAAAGATCAAAATGCTGAACTTCATACACGAAAAGCTGAAAAACAGGGTTCATGGATGGTTTGCTAAGGCCCTCTTTCAAGGAGGAAAGGAGATATTACTGAAAGCAGTTGGTTTTGCATTGCTAGTTTTCACTATGCAGTGTTTTAAACTTCCGAAGAGTCTATGTGAAAAGCTAACGAGCATTATGATAAAGTTTTGGTGGAGCAGCGGGGATAGGAGGAACAAAATTCCCTGGGTAGCTTAGAAGAAGCTATGCAAAGCTAAGGGAAAAGGTGGCCTCGGCTTCTGTGATATTGAACGCTTCCACCAAGCCCTCTTGACTAAGCAAGCTTAGCGTTTATGGGACCACTCGGATTCTCTACTGGCCAGGATATTAAAACACTGCTACTTTAGAAACAACTCCTTCCTGGAATGTGGTATGGGAACCAGACCTTCATGTGCTTGGCGAAGCATCTTGCATGGGCGTGACCTGTTGAAACAGGGTCTAGTTACAGCTATTGGTAATGGTCAAAATACGAATGTCTGGGCAACTAATTGGCTAATTGATGGATTACCAAGACACCCAATATATATACAAGACAGTGCTATTAATCTCTCTCTCAAAGTCTCGGATCTTATTGATGGACCTACTGCAAGGTGGAATATAATGAGACTTCGACAAGCCTTCTCCCATCAAGATGTTGAAAGGATCCTACTTATTAATCCAGACCTCACGCGACAAGATAAGCTAATTTGGGGTTTCACCAAAGACGGACAATACATAGCGCAAAGTGGGTACAGACTTCTGGAGAACATACTAGATCAACAACATCACCACCAATCTACTCTGACTACAATAGAGGAACAGTTATGGTCTAACCTTTGGAAGATTCAAGCTCCTCCTAAGCTTAAGCACTATCAGGAGCTTTGGCGGTAAAAGAGAGACTTCAGTCGAGACAAATTCATATTGATAGCACTTGTAAGGCATGTCAGCTCCACACGGAATCAATATGTCATGTGCTTTTTGGGTGTTCGATTGTAAAAGCTACATGGGAGATCTCGAACTTCCCTCTTCCACCACAAGGTCTCTCCCCTAACTCTGTTTTCTTGAATCTGCATTACCTAGTCTCTACTAGTTGGAGAAGAGAAATCCCCAAAAGAATCAGATTAGCATACCCTTGGATACTATGGCAACTATGGAAAACACGGAATAAATTGGTTTTTGAGAATGTAAAAGTTGATGCAGCTGTTATTATCTCTAAGGCTCTTGATGAAGCGGATGGCTGGCTGCGCTGTAATGGAGTATCTATGTCAGAGACCTATAATAGCGCCCCCACTATTAGCAAATGGGAAAAGCCTCCATCAGGTATGCTGAAATACAACTTTGATGCTTCTTGGATATTGCCAAATAGGAATTGTGGAGTTGCTTGGCTGGTTCGTGATCATATAGGCGAAATCCTACTTCACAGTAGATATGCATATTCGGCAATTCCCACTACCTGTGAAGCTGAGATATTAAGTTTACTGTAGGCAGTAGAGTCGCTAGCCACCATGAAACAGAAAAATATCATTCTAGAATCTTCATCGGAGCAACTAAGAGAAGTCATGCTATCCCCTTTTATCTATTCCCTCAGTTTCATGAGATAATTGATCAAATCTACCATCATCTTCATTCTCTGGAATGTTAGAGTTTGAATCACATTGTCGATGAAAGCAACTGAATGGCAGGAGAGATTGCAAGAAGCGTGACCAGAGAGCACAGGTATCAATCCTATATCTCTCATCAAAGTCCCTTCTAGCTTCATGCAGCTTTACATATGGAATCCATTGACATGAGTTTGATTTTGATTGTTATTTTCTGTTGATATTCTTAGGATATCATAAGCATCTTGGAACCTGACTCTAATGAGAAAGTTTTGATGGAGCACATCATAGGCGATGATTGTGATGATGGTATAGGCTTCATTGATCCGATTGTTGAAATGTAGCGAGACCATCTAATCAGAAAAGGGAGGAAGATATGGTGGAAAGATTTCTATGATATCGACTTGGCAGCTTGAGTTGTAGATGAAGATGCGAAAAAAGCACTTAAAGATGAAAGTAATGATGAAACTAAAGATGAAAATAAAGATGAAAGTGTTGCATCGTTGTTAGGGCTGAAGGAAGCGATGGAGAGAATGGAGAAAGTGATATAAGAAGTAAAGGATAAAGTGGATGGTTATCTTATATGGCCTCACGTACGACTTACACAAATAATCTCAATATTTTCAAATATATATTTTAAAACCTTATGCTACACATATGTATATTCATACCAATCATATATACAGTACATAGGTAGAAGTGTATACAAATTAGGATTAAACATGCAAGAAATTACAATCAATTTATCATTCGACCGTACCAAAAAATAGTAAGATCATAAACGATCATAACAAATAATGAGCAATAATGACAAGCAACCAAAATGCAAGAATTGTTCACCTCACAAATCTCGTAATATCAAAAGCCTAAAAATACAGTATACATTATTTAACAACAAACCTAACATTAAGATTTAAATTGTCCATTTTTCAACAAACAAATATACAATGATGATTTTCTTTTGAAAGGATACGTATGGAATAAAAACAACAAGACCATAAGTGCAAGATATACATATATATATATATATTATTGAAAGATTACAACTGGATTTACCTGCAGTAATAAGGAATATGGACTAAGAAACTCTGATCATAATCACATTACAAACTCTTCTATGATAGTAACCATGATCAATGTGCTACTTCGACTAGTAACAAACAGAAAGCTGGATTTTGTACGTAAATATCTCTACTAGAGAGTCAAACACTTATTAGCAAACGGGATATTGGAAAAGAGCTAATTTCTTGATTTTAACACCAGCCACAAAAGTGTTATTAAAACAAAAAGCATGGTAGGAAAATCAAGCAAGATCATTAATTGCACATTCTAAATAGATACACCAATAATTCAATAGCATTCCTAGTGAAAATCAATTCTTTTAAGACCAAGTGACAATCGACTCTGGTAAGACAAAGAGACCAAGTGAAAATGTATTCTGTTTAGACGAAGTGACAGACACTACTATTAACAAAGTTATTTTCAATTATTTGTTTTGTAAAAACTCAAGTCAAATGGTAAAATTCATCAAAAGTAAACAATAATCATCAATGTAAGAATTTATCAGAACAGAACCAAATTTAACTGTAAGATCGTGAGGATGTCATAATGTATGTTTGGAATGATCGCTAAGGTTTGGAAAAAAAGAAGAAGCTGAACACGAATCAAGGAAGCACGCATTTAAGCAATCAACGAAGAAAGCAAGCACGCAAGGAACCAGGGAAATAACAACAAATCAAAAAAAGCAATCAAGAAAGCAAGTAAAGAAACAGGAAAGCAAAAAAGAAGAAAGTAAGAAGGAAGCTAGTAAGTTAGCAAGAAAATAAAACAAAAAATCACAAAAAGCAAGTAAACAATGAAGGATGCAAGCATATAAGCATATATGAGTAAACAAGTTTGCAAATTTGTATGTATGTATGCATGTATGTGTTTGAATTCTCATGATTGGGAAGAACCCATAGAGAAGTCAATGGGCACATTAGGCTTTAAAGTATGCTAACATGTATAAATCTCCTAAAATTTTGGATGTTTATTCAAGCACCTGTCCTATGGAAATAAAAATTAGTCTTTACTTCACAGTTCACACACGTTTCTCACACTTGTGAATTTCATAAACTAATTATAAGCAAGTTTGAAAAGCACATACCTGTCACAGAAACCAGCAACACTTGAAATCCCCTAAGAGCACCTTCCGAAGCACATACCTGACAACAACAAAAAACAGAAATGATTAGTCTTTTAATTACTTCACAAAGATGCTTTGAGTTAATGTGAACAATCGGTTTTTGATTCATATAGTCTTTGAAGGCGTTGATTGTATTTTCCATCCAACGAAGCAAAAGATAGTTTTTATCTAATGACTTCTGTAAGCGTAAGCCTCGGGTTGTTTTTTTTTCATCCGTAGTCTCTGTCTAAAGACATTTCTAAGCCGAGACAGTTAAAAGTAAAGATATCTGTTTTCCAGACATAGTTTTTGTCTTGACCTTTGTAAGCCGTTGGTGTTTTTTTCCAAGTCATATACAGTACTCCATTGTCTTTTAAAGCCTTGTTTCTGTGATTTATATAGTCTTTGTCTTGAGACTTCTTTAAGCCGTTGGTCATCATAAAAGACTCTGTTTCCGTCTCAGTCTTTGTCTTAAAACCTTATTCAGCCATGGGTCGTTCTATCCAACAAACTGAAAGTCTTTTTCTTCTTTAAGCCGTGGGATCTAAGTCATGAGACTTATTTAAGCCTTGGGTTGTTTCTCCATCTATAGTCTTTTCCAGTCATAATCTTTGTTTTGAGTGAGACCTGTATAAGCCGTTTTGGTCGGTTCTTTTCAAATCATTGTCTAAGAATGACTTTTGAATCCTTGTGGTAAAAGTAATCAATCAGTTTCTCTGATTTATAGTCTCTGTCTTAAGACTTCTTTAGGCTTGGCTGTGTTAAAAGAACCTTGAGTGTTATCTTTGATTCGTAGCCTTTTTCTTGACCTATACCAACCTTTAGTCGTTTACCCCACACAATCTCTGTCTTCAAATACTTCAAAGCCATTTGTCTTCGTTTCAGTCCTTGTCTTTAGAGTTTTTTTTCAGTCCCTGGTCGTTAATTCCATCCAGCAAGTGGAAAACCAACTTTTTATCAGCTATTGGTCGTTATATCCATCCAACAAACTGAAAGCAAACCTTTATAAGCCTTTGTCTCAAGATTTCTTTAAGCCGTTGGTGTTTTTCGATTCCTTGTCTTTGTCTCAAGACTTATTTAAGCCGTTTGGTCGTCTTAGACGATCAAGACTTTTGTAAGCCGGGAGTGGTATATCAAAGAATCTGTTCTCGTCTGTCTTTGTCTTAAGACTTCTTCTCTAAGCCGTTGGTAGTTATCGAACATAAGTAGTTCTCGGATCATAAGCCTTTGTCTTAAGACTTCTTTAAGCCGTTTGGTCGTTTTTTTTCCCCATCCAAATAGGTTCATAGTCTTTCTCTAAGGAGATGTTCTAAGCCGCTGGTCATTTTGTTTCCCATCCAGCATTTCTAAAACCAACATTTTGTCTTTCTTTAAGTATTTTTTTCTAAGCCGTGGGTAGTGTTTTACATGATTACATCCAGCAAGTCTTATAACCGATCCATTGTCTTTGTCTAAAGACTTTTGTAAGCCGTTGGTAGTAAGGAATCTGCTTTCAATTTGTAGTCTCTGTCTTGAGACTTTGTTAAGTCGTTGGTTTAACTACATTACATCAAGCATTTGGTCGTTATTTCCATCCAAATAATTGAACACAGATTTTCTTAAGCCGTGGGTGTAGAAAAGTTAAGGATCTATTTCCCATTTGTAGTCTTTTGTCTGAAGACTTTTAAGCCGTTTGGTCTTATTTGCCATCCCCTAACATCCTTCCTTAGACATGCACTACCAACCCATATTATCGGTCCAGTTAATAATCTTGCTAAGGTGATGGTTTACGTTGTCTTTTAGAGGCAGCGGGACAATGTTCCCAAATAAGAATCTCACAGAACACTATTAGATTAGTGTCTGCATATATGATCTTTTTTGGGTTTGAATTGAAAAACAAAAACATCAAAACAAAACCAAAACAATATCCCGAAACAAGAACAAGAATTGATAGAACATTAGAGGAATGTCTATCTAATCTCTTGGGTTTGATAAAAACCAAAAAAAAAAAACAAAAGGCTCTGAAATCTTGTTAACAGAGTAATTTTGTTGTTGAAACAAAAACAAAACCAGTTGAAAGACATCTCACTGAGTGGAGAACTGATCTTATGTGTTTCTTCAAGCTCGAATCCATTCTCAAAGAGAAAAATTCGGAAAAAACATAAACAGAACAGGAAACTTTTAACATAGACAGAGAATTTTACCTTATAGACGGCTTTATGCAGAGTCTAGCTTCAAAGCAAAACCGGAAGAGATCACTGCAAAAGTTAAAGTCTGAACGATTAGGAAAACTGGAGGCTAACTAACTGAAGGGAAATGTTCATAGCATCACTATAATCTGTTCAAACCAAAAACCATGTTCAGACACCAACTAACTACGGGCTTGTGAGACATTAGACAAGAAAATGAATTTAAGAGGTTGCCTGGGGAACAAAGATTGCGAGGTTTAACACTCCTATAGCTAAACCTACACTGAGAACAAAACATAAGCTGAATGAAAGTATGGTTTAAGGCTGTTCCTGCCCATATCATATGTTCGTGCACACAATCTGCTGACACATTTGTTCAATGAAGAAAGAGCTGATCCCAAGAACAACCTATTGAAACAGGAAAAAAAGAAGAGTTCAATAACGGGCGAGTGATTCAAGTGCACACGCCAATTTACAATCTTTTTGAATATTGATTCTTACAGAGTTTACTAACAACCCTTCTTTGGTTGGATCCAAATCTGCATCAAACTGCAGAGGAAAGAGGTGATTATACAGGTCATAAATGAACCCAAGAACATGAAACAATGTCGAAAAGGTGACAACCGATATAAAAATGATACCATTTAAACTAGTTATCGAGTTCATCAAAGACACATCCAGGGCCATTGAATGAAGGTTTCACTACTCTCTCATACTTGATCACAATGGTTCCATGATTCGATTTTGAGTGTTCAAGGCCTTAACAAGGGTCAGAGGATTCTCTTTAGCAACTGAATATGAAACAACAATTAGATTACAAAAGCCCAGAAAATTCCATTGCATTGACAGATGTATATGGATCAAAAACTTTCTAAATCATACAGAATATTAACGAACGGAATGTATTGAGGCAGATATAAACAAGCTAGGGTTTGGTAAAGAACTTAGCAGATGCGATTCATTTACAAATTACCAACAACACATACCTCGACGACGGTTTCAGTGAGACTTCAGAACGATTAAAGGGTAAAAAGAAAACCCTAACCAAGATCACTGCAAAAAGAAATTAAAACTGAGGAATATTGGAAAATTGATAACACGAAATCAAAATCGCCAGCAGTATGATTTACATGAAACATAGAAACACGATACATACCTTGACCACAAGCGAAAAACCCAAATCGATTTCAGGCGGAATCAAGCTTTCGATCACTACAAACAAAAAGGAAAAAAGATTACACGAAACTTTAGAAATCCTCAAACAAATTCAAGATTTACAGAGGACCTCCGATTTTGACAACTCCTCAAAGATTTGATCGAGAGAATTCATCAGAAGAAAAAGAAGAAAAGAAAAGCTAACATTTAAACCAAAAAAAATAAAGAACAAATTTGGAAGAAAATTTGTGAAGAACTGTGGGAATAATATTTGGAAGTAAATGTTTAATATGTATTTTTTGACGGTTATATTTCAAATTTAATCGATTTATGTTGTAATTAAACCGGTTCTGCATTCTTAGAAAACTAGCTAAACTGATTCGGTTTTAAATTTTTCTGCAATAACTACTAATACGTTGTCGTTTCCTAACGGTTATATTTCAAATTTTCCATTTATGTTGTAGTTAACAGTGAAAGTAGAGGTGGAAGGGACCGAGATAATTGAAAACGTCAAGGCTAAGATACATGGTCACGGGGGGCTCACCAGTGGACAAGCATACTCTGTTGTTTGAAGGCAAGCAGCTCCTCAGCAGGCGTACCATAGCTGAGTACAGTATCAAGACAGGCTCGACCCTTCTCATAAATTAAGCCGCATCATTGCGTTTGCTCAATGGCCGGAATACCATTATTGACCAAAATTCAATCTCATATATCATTCTTATAAAAGTTAATTTCTTTTCTATTTATTTTTAATATTAAAAGTGTGTAAATTCAATTTTGTCCTTCAAAAATCTAAGAAATTACAATTTCATTCGGGTTTTTATCCAATTCCAAACCCGATTCCAACACAAAAATAACCCTAGTTGATTGTCTTCGATTTTACACCACTGTAAATCGGCTCCTCCGCATCGTCTCCTCCTTTCCGATTCCTCTTCTCGCTACTTCTCGTCCACATCACCTCCTCTCCGATTGAGTACTCTCTTCGATTCCTCTTCTCGCTTCTTCTCCTCATCATCGCCTCCTCTCCGATTCATTTTCTAAATCAGATCACTTCTCTGCCTCTCTTCTTTTGCTCCTCTCTGTTTCGTCTTCACTATGTTCTCCTCCTCATCGACTCCTTACCGATTCGTCTTCTCCTCCGCATCACTTGTTTGATTCTTCTTCTCATCTGCATCTCTTCTCTTCCTATAGAGAGTTTGATTTCTAGGTAAGCCTCCAAACTTTGATATCTTCCGTTCTTCTCCTCTTGTCGTTGAATTGGGATTCATCTATTAATGTTGGTTTGATCATTTAATTGTCAGAGATAGTTTGGGTGAGAGGCAGTAAATACAGGACAGGAAGAGGTGTAGGTCGAAGAAAGAAGAATGAAAACGAAGGAGAAACCTCTTCAAAAGAATTAGAAACCGCTACTCCTGAAGTGGACGCCTCTCCTCCTGAAACCGTCGCAGCAACCACTGCAGGGGACGTTCCTCCTCCAAACTCTCCTCCTCATGAAACCGTCGCAGCAAAAGAAACAAATGGAGCTGCAGTGGACGTTCCTTCTGTTCCTTCTCGGAATTGTCCTCCTCCTGAAACTGTCGCAGCAACAGAAACAAAAGGAGCTGCACCGGACTCTCCTCCTCCTGAAACCGCCGCAGCTACCACAGAAGGAGCTGCACTAGACATTCCTCCTCTGAACTCTCCTCCTCCTGAAACCATCGCAGCAACCACAGAAGGAGCTGCACTAGACGTTCCTCCTCCGAACTCTCCTCCTTCTGAAACTGTCGCAGCAACCACAGAAGGAGAATCAGAAATAGAAAGAGCTGCATTGGACACAGAAACAAGGGCTTCACCAACCCCAGAAGCACCAATAGAAGCCGCACAAACTCCAGGAGAGATGAACATTGATTTAGCTATGGTATTGTTTGAAGGAGAACCATCAAATTCTGCTCCCCAAGAGCTTACTCACGAAGAAGTCCAAGAAAAAGAGCTTCATCTCGAGGAAGAGCAAGAAAAAGAAGCTGGTCTTGAGAAAGAGGTATTATTTACAAGTCTTATGCATTTTTACTTACCTTGGAATTGAGATTGATATTGGAGAATGGATGAAAATATGTTAGGATGATTTAGTGATGTGTGAACAATTAGGAGAACTAAGTAGTATATTAGTTTAATTTCGTCTCAATAGGTTCGACTACGTCTGAATAGGTTTAACTTCGTCACAACAGGATGAACTACATCTGAATAGGTTCAACTTTGTTTCCTAGGTTCAACTTCGTCTTAATAAGTTCAACTACTTTTGAATAGGTTCGACTATGTCTGAATAGGTCTAACTTCGTTTCCAGGTTCAACTGCGTTTCCTAGGTTCGACTAAGTTTCTTAGGTTCAACTGCGTTTTCTAGGTTTGACTAAGAATTAAGTTGTTCATTAAACCTGTGTTTGAATTTGTAGGATGAAGAGGATGAAACGCCACCATTGCAACCAGAGAAGTTCTACTTCACTCCAGATCAATATACCAGAGTATGTAAGATATGATCGAGATGTACTGTCGTGAAGACAGTGTCTATGATAAAGAAGCTGAAAAATGAATCGACATGGTTCACAAGACATCCTCAATTCAAGCATATTTTCCATATGGAGGAGGAGCCAAACCGAAAGCCTATGGGTTTGTGGATGTTGCTACTTCATCAAGCTTGTACGGATTCAGAGAAGGAGTTCTGGTTTGTGGTTAATGGAGTACCGATCAGATATTCCATTAGGGAACATGCTCTGTTAAGTGGGTTGGACTGGCACCACTACCCGAGGGTATATGATGACTTGAGGGATAAGAAAAAAGGCGATTTTAAGTTTGTGCAAAGGATTTTTGGAAGGAAGGACAATATAAGAATCGAAGATGTGGAAGAGAAAACGCAGTCATTGACGAGCGGCTTAGATAAGAAGAAGATGGCTGTCCTGTTTTTCTTATGCACTGTGTTGAAAGCGGAATCTAAGGTGAAAGGGAACATAGAGCCATTCTTGCTTAAAGTGGTTGATGATTTGACATTGTGCAAGACATTTCCATGCGGGCGTTATACTTTTGATGATTATATGGAGGAGATGAAGAGGGCGATGAAGAAATTCAAGAAAGGCATCGTCAAAGACAAAGAGCGATTGACATTTTCTGGATGTTAGTTGTGATGGTTTTGTAATTGTTTTAAATCGATTTTAATGCAATTGTATGTGTAGATTTTTGCGTTTGAGTGTATTCCTGCGCTTAAACGCACGTTTCGAGTAGAGGTTGCCATAGAGAAGGACTATCCAAGGATGTGCAAGCACAAGTTCTTGGAGACTTCCATGAAAAGTTATCCATTAGAAGACATAAACGAGGCGATTGGAAATACCAAGGTGAGAGATAATACTTATATATGGTTATTTTTGTATTTGATATGAGTTTGATTATGATTGTTATTTTCTGTTGATATTCTTAAGATATCATAAGCATCTTGGAACCTGACTTTGATGAGAAAGCTTTGATGGAGCACATCATAGGCGATGATTGTGATGATGGTATAGGCTTCATTGATCTGATTGTTGAGATGTGGCGAGACCATCTAATCAGAAAAGGGAGAAAGATATGGTGGAAAGATCTCTATGATATTGACTTGGCAGCTCGAGTTGTAGATGATGATGCAAAAAAGGCACTTAAAGATGAAAGTAATGATGAAACTAAAGATGAAAGTAAAGATGAAAGTGTTGCATCGTTGTTGGGGCTGAAGGAAACGGTGGAGAGAATGGAGAAAGTGATATAAGAAGTTATGTTGGCAAGCAGAACAATGAGTTGGATAGACTCATCATGTGAGTGATGTCGATCAAAACTGCTACTGATTTGAAGCTTAGACACAAATAACAAAACAAAAAGATTCAGCTGTGGCTTATACCTTGCAACAAACAGTTGGATAGTATAAACATATGAACAGTAATACAAAATTCTGTAAACACAAAGTCAAACACCTCGTCAATGGATACCTAGCGGCGCTCCTGAATGAAGAGCTGTGCAGCAACTTCCAAATCAACAGCTGCTCGATAAGAATATGAGATGTTCCAGGTAACTTGACCCGTGATGAAAATATCTGCATAACTTTAGCAGCAGGAACTATCTTGATCAAGTCATTCTTCTGTATCAATCGACCATCAATCTCTTCTTCACCACTCACATTCCCTAACTTGTCCAAAGTCAACAATATCGCAGTGTCGGGTGCCAAGTTCATAAGCTTTGCGATCTCTTGACATGTTTTTCCTTTAGCCATGATCTCTAACCACTTTCCTAGTATGATAAACGATATGAGCATGGCGCTAGTCTCAATGAAACCAAACTCCAAAGAAACATCTTAGTACTGCTTAATCTCCTCTTGATTTTGAGATTCTCTGCCTACCCCTCCCTCTGAAAATACGGTTGCCTTGCTGTGATCTGCCTACTCCCCCCTCTGAAAATACTTTTGCCTTGATGTGACTACTGTGACCAAAGACAGTAGACTCAATCGCCCAAATGAAAGAGCATAAACCTCAAAACCAACATTTGTTCCTTAGACTCTTGCTCTTATGGCTCTGAGTTTTGCAGGACAATCATGAAAAATTTGATATGATCACTAAGGGAGGAAACTATGGTTGGCATTACTACGAGGGAATTTTACCGTTTAATCCTTCTAAAATCAGCAACTGAACAAAGATTACCATAAAGAAGGATCTTTTGCCGTTCCTCCACCGATCCATGCTCGTATGGAATTGTTTCACTCTTTTCCTCATTTCTTTTACTTATCCAAATCAACAGCCGCTCGTCCTTCACCTCAGATTGCCCATAAGAATATGAGATGTTCAAAGTAACTTGACCCGTGATATATTATCCGACTGATGAGTAAAATCATCGAATATCATTTTATATTGTCATCGTTGAGAAAAATGATTGATAAGTATTTGCTGTTTTTTCTCCTTCGTATAAATAAAATTAATTTTTATGCTATATAATTAAACACTTTACTTTTCTTTATTCATGAAAAACTTTAATTTATTTTACATAGTAAAGTATATATAATTAATTTTACTTTAGTTTTATGCATTATTTTTTCTGAGCTTTAAAAAAAAAAAGTTTTATAACTATTCTCTGCAAGTTCTTTCGTTGTTCACTTTCTAACTTTTTTTTCACATTCTCTTTTTTTTTTATATTAATAATGATTACGTTTTCATTTTTTATTTCATAGAAAATTTGTATTTTTTACGGTTTTAAAAATAAATATTTATTTTACATAAATAATTTTATTTTAGTTTTGTACATAAGTTTTTCTAAGTTTTTTTTTTAATCTTCATAAATATTGTCAGTAAGCTTTTCTATTATTTTTTGTATATGTTTGCCTTCCAAAATCTTTTCATAAATAAAAAATTTGTAATTTTATAGTTTGTAAAATAAATATTTCTTTTTAATTTTAAATTAATATTATATGAAGGTTTATAAAATGAATATCCAATATATAAGCCTATAAAAAATCAAAATATTTAAAAGCCTATTTTGAAGAAAAACAATTGCTGAAGTTTGTTTAGATGGAGAGAAGTTTGTCTAATAAAAAAAGTTAGATTGTTCATAGTTTTTGTTGTT